AGGTTATCAATTTCATCTTGGGGGAGTTTTGGCAATTCGTGGTTTTAGGGGAAATTCTCCATTTTATCTAAGTTGTCAGATTTCTGTGCATAGAATTGTTACTAGTTTCTCCTTATTATCTTTTAGTTCCTGGGGGGCGTGGGGGGGTGCTCTGTAGTGATATCCCTGCTTTCCTTCCAGATGTTGGTAAGTCCTGTTTTCTCTCTTTTTGTCCATGTCATTCTTCCTGGAAGTTTATCAATGGTATTGACTTTTTCAAAGGCAAGCTTTCAGTTTCATTGATTTTTCTCTGTTGTTTTTGTTTTTACTTCTAATGATTATTGCTCCTATTATTGTTTCATTCCTTCTGCTTGCTTTTGGTTTATCTTGCTCTTGTTTTCTGGATTTTTATGGCAGAAGCTTGGATGACTGAGTTGAGATGATTCTTTTTTTTTCTAATATCTAAATTTTATATGTTATAAGCATCTGACACATTTTGATATGTTGTATTTTTATTTTTGTCCAGTTCAAAGTATTTTATAATTCCCTTTGAGAATTCCTCTCTATGAATTTGCCTTTCCAGTCACTTATAGAACTTGCCATCTGTTCCATACTTTTAGGTTCTTGGTTGTAATCAAGTGCATTAAATTGAAATATAAGTCATCTCACGAAGATTTTTCGTAGCTTCATTTGTTGTTATGAATAGTAATGTGATATTCATTTACATTGCTTTATTGAGAATAATAGTAGCTGCCATGTATTGAGTGCTTACTATGTCCTAAGCATTATGTTGATCGGTTTACATGGTCTCATTAAATTCTCTCAACAAACTTTTCAGCGAGGTACTGTCACTAGCCCCATTTTATGATTAAGGAAACTGACACACGTATTTTAAGTCACTTGTCCAGAGTCACTCAGCCAAAATGTGGTAGATCTGGAATTTGAGTGTAGGTTTGTGCCAAACCCTGAATTCTTCACCATTATACTACATTTCCTTTCATTATTTCATTTCTTGCCTTGTCAGTAAGATGTTATTTTCTTGAGGGCAGATACTATGTCTTATACTGATCACCTTTTCCCTACAGCACCTGGAACCATGTTAGACACATAGTAATGGATTGATTTATGTTTGTGGAACTCAATTTAACCAACTGAGCCACCCAGGCGCCCCTTGTGGAACTCAATTTAATGGCATGAACTGACCCGGAAGAGAATTAAACCCGTGACATTTGCCATATTGCACCAGTTTCTTACCAACTAAGCTAATTCAGCTTGGTCTCCTACACAAAAACAAAAAAAGCTGACAAAATATTTGTGACCATAGTAATGGCCAAGGCTTTGAGCTGTCAAGGAGATTTATAAGTATGACTAACTGAGCAGGAGTCCATCTCCAAGTTGTGCTGCTCAGTTCTGACCTTCAGTCTTGTCCTTTTGCTCTCTATGGAACTCCTTTTCTTACTTCGAATTTGTTTCACCGTTCAACTCTCTCACACGATTTCCTTTCTCCCCCTCCCCGCCCTTTGCATCTTGAAGCTTTAGGCGAACTCTTCACCATTTGTTTATGAAACACATATGTGAGTCTTACTATATACTATGTGCTCTTCTAAGCATTAACTAAGCTCACTAAGCATTAACTCCATATAACAATCCTACAAATTGGGTACTGTTGTTCCCGTTGTACGGATAAGGGAACTCTCACAGGACTTTCTAGGGGCTCATTATCCATTTCCCATACACAATAGAAATCTGAGCGGTAGGCTGGAGGTGGATATAAAGTGAAAACAAAAGCCTTTGGCTTTCATATGGCCAGTCACTTACCTGTTGGGCTGTGCTCAGGGTCTATAGAGGGCAGTGCAGGTATATAATTGGGGGATAGCTTTGCCACAAAACACCCAGGGGGTTCTGTTGCCCTTAGGCATTGCCCTCTCTCCCAATGGGCAGCCCAGAATCTTTTCCTACCTGGCCTACAGTCTAACTGACTCTCTCTCTCTCTCTCTCTCATACACACACGATCTCAAAACTTGGCGAGACCTGAGTGTGACTTCTCCCTCCGACTCTTCCTAGCTCTGTGATTTGTGGCAAGTCATGTAGTCACTCGGTGTTTTGATGTTCTCAACTGTGAAATTAAAGAAGATGATAAAGATTATAATAAAAACTGAGGGATAAATCAGATGAGGCATTTGACTACTTAACCCAGTGATTGGCATGTAGAAATGCTCTATACATGTTTAAATGCTTTTGTGATTATTGATGTGTAAGACCTTTTTATATATTAGGGATAATCCACGCTTTGGCATATATGTAGCTTGTAGAACTGAATTTTGAGGACCCAGAACAGGCTTGTCTTTATGTGGGAATTTCTTCGTTGTTTTGAATCTTGACATTGGTTTTATCTTCTCTATTTCTGACCTTTCATGGGCCCTTGGGATCAATTCCATCATCCTCACGATTTAACTTTTGGCGCCCAGAGAGCTAATTGGCTTTGTATAAATGCCAGCATTCTTTTAGGGCCAGTGGCAAAGCCTGGCACTGGAGTCCAGCTTTACCTGGACTATTAATGTGATGTTTCCCTCTCCCAGGGTGAATGTTTAGGCTGTGGCTAAACAAGACTGTTTATGCCCAGGGCCTCCCTTAGGCAGGCCCAGGGATAGAGTTAGGCCGGGCCTGGAATGGCCATTAATGACCCCTGCTCTAGGCACTTGAGGCTTGAGTGAGAGTCTTCAGCAATCAGTTCTCAGAGCACAGAGTACCCCCTGGAATGACCCTGTTGTAAAAGCATGGTAACCTGGCCAGCCCTGGGAGGCCGGAGTGACATCACATTGGTGCTGGAGGACCGTGATTGCTTGGCGTGGCCTCAGAGCATTCTCCCCTTGGTCACCCCTCTGAAAGTGTATTACGCCTAGGCCAGGGGATGGATAAGATGGTAGAAAGACCCCTGAAACCCAAAGGGAGGAAACAGGAGCCTCTCTGACTCTCCACCTGAGGTCACATTTGTGAGGGAGGGTGGCGGGGGTGGGGGTGGGGCTCTGGTATCAAGCAGCGAGAGGGATATAAGAGTTTGGGGTCTCAAGTTAGATAAACCTGGGCTTGAATCTTGGCTCTTCTATCTTATGTGTGACATGAACCAGGCCACTTTGCTTCTCTGAATGAACTTGGTTTCCTCGTCAACAAATGGGAAAAGTAATTGTACCTGTCTCAGAAGATTGCTGTAAAAATTAAGCGAGAGAATTTTTTTTTTTTTTTTTAATTTTTATTTATTTATTCATGAGAGACAGAGAGAGAGAGAGGCAGAGGGAGAAGCAGGCTCCCAAGGAGCAGGGAGCCCGATGCGGGACTCGATCCCAGGACCCTGAGATCATGACCTGAGCCGAAGGCAGACGCTCAACCATCTGAGCCACCCAGGCGCCCTAAGCGAGAGAATTTATGTAAAGCAGTTAATTAGATAACTTGCCCAGATTATGTTAAGTGCACGTTATCATCATCCTTGTGGCATTGGTAGAAACGAGCAACAGTAATAAACAGACTGCGGGAAGTGAAAACCATCCTTGGGGCTTCTGTGCTGTTCTCATGGGTCTCCTTGTAATGTCTCTCCATCTTAGGCACACATCTCTGAGCTTTGAGAGAGTACCTAGAGTTCTTGAGGGCCTTCAAAGGGCGCCTGGGTAGCTCGGTCGGTTAAGTGTCTGCTTTGGCTTCAGGTCATGATCCCAGGGTCCTGGGATTGAGTTCCGCACTGGGCTTCCAGTGGCGAGTCTGCTTCTCCCTCTCCCTCTGCCCCTCTCCCCTGTTTGTGCGTGCACACTCTCTCTCCCTCTCTCTTTCTCTCAAATAAGTAAATAAAATCTTAAAAAAAAACAAAAAGTATGGGCTGCTTTCCCCTTCCAAGCATGGGAAAAATCCTGGTATCTCAGGGGTGCTGTGTGAGTGTGTGTGAGTGTGTGCGTGAGAGAGAGAGAGAGAGAGAGAGAGTCGACTCAGCACTGGTTGTACCTGACCCATCAAATCTGCTTTTCTTCACGAGGAAGTCCGTGTGTCATTCTTTTCTTCTCCCTCAGTTGTAAAGGACCATTTGCCTCGAATGATGAAAGAAGCTGCTGAAGTCCACCCTCAGCACTCTCTCAGGCAGAGTTGGTTTCTGACCTGCTTGTTCTTGACTTACAAAGGGTTTCTAGCATATGCTTCAACAAGTCTGGTATTAGGAAATGATTATTTTTTTTTTTTAAAGATTTCATTTATGTATTTGAGAGAGAAAATGAGAGAGAGAGAGCACATGAGAGGAGGGAGGGTCAGAGGGAGAAGCAGACCCCCTGCTGAGCAGGGAGCCCGATGCGGGACTCGATCCAGGGACTCCAGGATCATGACCTGAGCCGAAGGCAGTCGCTTAACCAACTGAGCCACCCAGGCGCCCTAGGAAATGATTATTACCCGATGCTGGAGACCAGTGGTTTTCTTCTTCTCCTTCCTCCCCCCGCCCTTTTCCTTTTTTGTTTTGCCTTTAAGTCACAAAACCCAATCTGTAAAATCGATCAAAGCAAGCCTGAAGACTTTTCTAAGAAAGTCGGGGAGCGCAGTTGACAAAACACTGCAGTCGGCTGGCTGGTTTGACTTGCCTTTTCACGCCTAGGCCGCTATTTGGGCGAAAGGATCGGACATGGGTGTGTAAATAAACAGCCATGTCACACGAAACAGGTACCCCAGTGCTCTAATCACAGGGCACTCGCTTGGCGGAGGCCCTCTTTTCAACTGTTGCCTGAGCTGTGGCGGCCGACGCTGCTGATGGGGACCGACTGGACGTGTAGGGAGCACGGAGCTCATGATGTGATCAAGTGTCATAGCCAAAGTGTGTTCAGGGAGCATCTGGGGGATTTTTGAGACAGCGGTCAGAACATTTGTTTACGTGGCCTCCCGTAGGGCAGGGCATGACTTGGCACATTTTTGCCTGCCCGTGCAACAGAGTCTGAGTGTGACCTGGACTTTATCTTTTTTTTTTTTTTTTTCTTTTTCCTTTTCTCCCCCTCCAGGCTCCAGATGCACATGCTGAATGGAGCGCTTCTAGCTCTGCTGTTTCCTGTGGTGAATACCCGGCTGGTAAGTTGCCTCTTGTAAGAACGTGCTGCCAACGTACAAACCAGTTATTTGCTCACTCCTTCAGTATCCAGCGCTTGCCCTCATCCTGCGCTCACGTACCCATGTGAGCTTTAAAATATGTACATATTTCATACTGCGGTTTGACATCGCCCTTCTTGGACGCAGGGGAGCTTGATAGGTAGGGGTGGGAGTATCTGATGGAACTCTGGGGCTGCATTAAGAGTTCAGGCCAGAACCAGGAGAGACCACAGAAGCCTAAAGGAGCTCTTGAGAGGTTTGGTGGAGAGAAGGGGGGGCAGGGAGCCCCATTTATTAGAGGTTTCCAGGTGTTCTGAGGGGCTCTCGTTTGGATTCAGCCACATTGGCCCAGAATAATCTGATGGGGAGCCTCAAAGCCTGTCTGCTTTGCCAAGGGCCCCATTGAGCAAGAATTAGTTTCTTTCCCCCATTTACCCAAACCCATAGGGCGGTCTGAGCCACCCCATACCCAGTAGCTAGCCAGTAGACTCCCACTGTAGCAGGGGGCTGGGTGTTAAACGAGCATAGAGAGAAGAAGGAGCTATAGGGTTGAGGTGGCAGGGCCCTGTCCTCAGACTCCCTCATGTGGCACTGTGGAGGGATTAGCCAGCCATGTTAGAAAGCACAGGAAAAGAAATCACCTGTAAAATCCTTCCTACTGCTTTCTATTTTCATGACTTAAATTTGCCTCATGCATTCAAGATCATAGTTTAAATCTCAAAATGATAATCCTTCCTCTTTGGATAGCATTTTATAGTTTACAAGGTCTTTTCACATGACAGCTGTGTGATGTAGATAAGGGCAAGCATTATGGCCTCTCGTTACAGAGGAAGACACTGACGTTCAGGGAGTCACACAAGGTCCAAGTGGCAGAGTTAGGAATGGAGAAGCCTCTAGATCCTATACGTGCAGCAATACTTCACTCTCTCCAAGGATTTAGTCACACCCTCCCCACAAGTACTCATGTATACCCCTATGATCATTATATGTTTCTCGGTGCCTATTGTACATCAATAGAAATTAAAAGAAAATGCATTCATCTAAAGCAGTGATTTTGAACCCAGGCTTAAAATTTTGCTCCAGCCTCACCTAGAGGTACTTAAAAAAACAAAACAAAACAAAACAAAAAATGATGAACAACAACAATGGAAAACCAACCAACCAAAATGACTGACGGCCCGGCCCCTCCCTTGGAGTGTCTGAACTCTTGATCTGTGACACAGCCTAGGTGGGCATAGTGTTTTTAAAAAGTGTTTCTAATGTGGAGCTGCAGTTGAGGACCACCGATTTTGTGCAGTGGCTCTGACTTAATGTCTGTCCATAGCAGTTCACCCAAGGAAATGGCTAAGAAATAAGGCTTGCTGGACCTCATCCCCAGAAGGTCAGATTAAGAGGATCTGGGATGACACCAGGAAATGAGCATTGGTAATAAGTCCCCAAGTAATGTCGACTGCTGGGGTCCTCGGACCCCTCTTGGAGAATCAGCATCCTGGGTGATCGTAATTCCAAATTACTCCAAGTGTGGGACTCCAGGTGAGGTCTGAGGACCAGCATCACGAGGGTGCTGCCTGTTAGAAAGGCAGAATTTGAGGCCCTGGCAGAACCCCTGAACCGAGTGTGCCCGGCCTCTCATGACCGGGACAATACTGCCTGCCCTCTCCCACCCTGGCATTCCCCCCACCTCCCAGGAGGTCCGACAGTCTATCTACAAGCGTATGAATAAATACACCACAGCAACATTTCTGCACTAGGCCTGCTGACACTTCCGGAGTATTTACTGTGCGCCCGGTACTGTTCTAAGTGCTCTATGTGGGCTAATGTATTTGATCCTCACAATAAACTTCTGAGGCAAGGCATTGATAATTATCCCCAAGATCAAAGTGCCGGCAGGGTTGGTTTTCTCTGAGGCCTCTCTCCTTGGCTTGCGGATGGCCGCCATCTTGATGCCTTTTCACATGGTCTTTTCTCTCTGCATGCACATCCCTAGTGCCTCTCTGTGTGTCCAAATTTCCTCTTGTAAGGACATTGGTCAGATTGGATTAGGGCCCACCTAATGGCCTCCTTTTAACTTAGTTCTTAAAGGAGGTATTTCCAAATATAGTCACATTCTGAGATCAGGCCTTCAACATAAGAATTTTGGTGGGGACATAATTCAGCCCCTAACAGCTTTCTACTCTGTACAAAAAACAATGTTCCTCTCTCCTCCCCTCTCTCCCTCCCTCCCTCCCTCCCTTCTTTCCTTCTCTTTCTTCCTCTCCCCTTCTTCCCCTTTCTCACAGTAGATTTGCTATTATAGTTGCTATAACACCTAATACTTTCTGAATTCATATCAAGTTGTAGCCAGCCAGCTCATCAGGAATGTTCAAGAAACTTTCCTTAACACTGAAACTTCTTTGATGAGCTTAATGAGTGATTCCAATCAGTCTGGTAAATAATCTTGGTGCCCTTTTTTCTAAAATGAAGCTGAGACAAGCTCAGGGTGATGGTTCCATTTGCATGTGTCTTGTCAACTGGGTTTGGCTTGGTTATTTTAAATGGTTGGGACCCCTCCTGGGCTACCTCTGGCATTAGGACTTTTTGCTTTGCAACCCCTTAGTTGAGCTCAGACTGACTTAAAACAAGACACAGGAAGGGGTGCCTGGGTGGCTCAGTCGTTGGGCGGCTGCCTTTGGCTTGGGTCATGATCCCAGGGTCGTGGGATTGAGCCCCGCATCGGGCTCCCTGCTCGGCGGGAAGCCTGCTTCTCCCTCTCCCCCTCCCCCTGATTGTGTTCCCTGTCTCGCTGTGTCTCTCTCTGTCAAATAAATAAATAAAATCTTTTTATAAAAAAAACAACAACAAGACACAGGAAGACAGGCAACTCTATCTTAAGCCTGATGATCCAATTAGGTTGGAACTTAGCTTTTGACTTCTCTGTGCTCTTTCTTCTCGACCCTTTATATTTTTAATCTTCTTTTGTTGTTTTTCTGAGTAGTAATATGGAAGCAAGGAAAAGAAAATGAGCTGGTGTGTATGTCAGTAACACAGTCACACGTATACTCACATGTACAAGGACAGAGAAGGAGGGAGTTTCAGGAAATTGCCACTGTCAGCTAAAGGATTTGGGGTCATCAGTGCATTTCCATTTGCTGTGCTCTGTCCTGTGACTTACTGGCCCTGGGATTTGCAGACCAGCTAGGGAATGCCCGGGTCCCAGTTTCTCCTGGCTCTCTATCCTAGCAGCTGATACCTTGGAGGAAAGAACATGTATTCCAATGGCTCATATTACAAGGAAATGGTCTTTGCTGCCAGGATTATGGAGAAGGTCTGTTTCTGGCTTCAGATGAAGTGTCTTAAGGGCGATTTTTCTTTTGCTCCTTGGAGGGAAGGAGAGAAAATGCATCATGGAACTATTGATTATTAGATTAGCAGGGAGCTAAAAGCTTGTCTGATCTCATCTCATCTTCTAGATGGGGTCCTTAGAAGCCAAGGTGGGTGCCCCTAAAATCCAGCTCTCCTGACTCAGACTTCAGAGCTTTTTTCCTATTCTATGACTGGCGTTCAGGGCGAGTTTGAAAGCTGGTGAATCCAGATGCTGGAGATGCTTCTTAGCTTCTGTCCATCTAAAAGAGTTGGGTCATAGGTTTCTTTGAGAAGCTGAAGAAGACTGTAGAGTCTCTTCCCAGATAAATGCACAAACACAATTTTGCAGATAATTCCAGGAGACTGTCACCTGCTGTCCCCCCCCCCCCCGCCACCACTGACCCCTAGCCTATCCGTGGAGCCCATCTTAAGATCCCTCACCCAAGCTGACAGTAGCCCATGGCTTGATAAATCGATATGCTGCCTAGTTTATGAGCTCCTTGTTATAGCCATTGGCTTTGGGGCTGGTGGTGAGGCTGGGTTCCTTATCCATTGCCTGTGACTTAGCAAAATATATCTCTTCCAGGCCAAAACACCTTCTGGAAAGTAAAAGCCAAGAGGTGGGAGCTAAGTAGGTTGCCCATGGGACCTGGGTTACATATTAGATTTTCAGTTCCATCTCTTACCTTGCCAGGTTGATCTGGTCCTCAAGACTGAGGCCCTGGGCATAAGCTGCATCCCCAGCCCTGTACCTTTTCTCTTCAAATGCCAATGAGAGTTCCTTCTGAATGCAGAGTGTTCTGAGCAAGGGAGAGTGGAGACAGAAAACAAACTTAAAACACCATATCAGCCCCCTTCCCAGACTGAAGACTCCAGCCCGGCCTATATTTGTGGTTGCAGCCATCTGTCTTCTATGAGAATAATAATAAGAAGAATGGTAATGATTCTTTTCATCAAACTCCTTTCTTCTTCAAGGCCCAAAGCCTCGTGTTTATTATTATCTCATTATCAAAATTGCCCATTATTGTGCAACCCTGTTGATCTCTCATGGTAGTTCTTTCCCCCCTCCTTTCCCATTCTTGCCCGTTTGCTCGGCTCCTGTACTGTCAGATGGTTCTCTTGGATGTCCCTAACTCTGAGACCGAGCGGAAGGGGTTAGTAATGATATTTTCATTACTGGGGCAGCTCCCCAGCTTTCAGAGTCGTTATCTTAATGTTCTCAAGGTGCACCTCGTCCCCATGTGTGCCTCTTGGAAAACTTTGCTTTCACCAAGGCAAATAGGCTTGAGAAACTTACTCTTTGCTAACTGGCACATTGAAATGTGCTAATTGACCTAGAAAAGTTATTTCTGTGACTGGCAAATTGAGCTATTTAAAAAACTTATAGTTTGGATTTTGGACCTCAGCTAGGGACAGAATATCCCTTTGCTTTCCTGAGAGTACTTAAATTATGAAAAGCTTGGTTTCAGAAGAGGCCTTCGCTTTTTGGAGAATCGATGTGGGCAAAATTGTGCCTCGGATGTGAAGAGTCTGGTGTTCCTGGGCCAAACTAAACCAAATGCTAGGGACTATTCTAGAATATGTCTAATCACCACCTTTATTTTAAGGTTAATCTTGGAGAATCTTCCATCCTCCATGAA